GGAGGGGCGGCAGGACGTGCCAGGGTGGGAGGGTGGGAAGGTGGGCAGGTACACGGCTGCTGCTCTGCAGCAGGAAGCGGTGCAGCAGCTGAGTCTCTGCATCCTGCAGGGAGCAGCGGCAGGTAGGGAGCTGGGGTAGTGCTTTGTGCCAGGACCTGGGCAGGAGGCAGAAGCTGAAGGTGGGGTAGGGGCCCAGTGATGGGGGTGGGGGAGTGAGGGGTGTAGGTGGCCAAAGGAACAGGTGCAGGAAGGGAGTGTCAAGGTCCTGGGGGTATCCAGGGGGAGAGATCGGAGCGGCCTGGGAGCAGAATGGGTGGGAGGATAGGGACAGGGACTGGAGGGAGGATGAAGGGGGAGCCTTGCCGAGCAACAAGGAGCGATGGGGAGGACCCGGACCAGCAGCTCTCCGACGGGGCTGCGCAGAGGTCGGGGAAGGAGAGTAGGGGGAGGCCAGGCTGCGGGCACAGGAGCGTCGCGGGGTGAAGGAGATGAAGTTGGGCAAGGGTCGCGGACGTGCGCTGAAAGGTCAGGCGGGATGACACGCGGGAAGGAAAGCGAGGATGGGATGGGGGGAGGGAGGTGACGGAGACGGAGGTGAGGAGGCTGGAGAGGAGGTGAGAACGGAGGCGGGGGCAGGGACGCAGGGCTGGGGACGAGGAGATGGAGCAGGGACGCGATTCCTGTCGCCGCGCGGGCCTCGCCGGTCCCCGCCGCCGCTCTCCCGGCGCAGGTCCTCGGAAAGCGCGGCCCGCCGGGGTCTCCCCCTGCACTCACCTGGGGGCTCCAGCTCCGGATCCTGCGCCCCGCTCCGGATCTTCCTTCCCGCCCTGCCCCTGCGACTTTAGCGCCCCCGAATCCCGCTCGCTCGGGCAGGTTCCGCCCGCAGCATCTTCACCTCGTGGGACGCCCGGGGCCACGCCTCTGCCAGCTTCTCATTGGCTGTCGTTCACGCCAGTTACGTTCCCATTGCCTGAGAGACGGCCGGCCATGCAAATGAGGACGGGCCCGCCGCCGCGCCGATTGGCTGGCTCCCGCGGAGCGGAGCCCGTCGACTTACGCTCGGATTGGCCCCACGGCGCTGACGACGGAGGTGACGCGGCCGGGCTCCGTCCGGAGCGTGCGGCGCGGCTCCTTCCGTGGCCCCTCTCGCGGGTGGCCTCGGACTGGCGCGCCCCTCGGCCGGTCCTG